CTGGATACACATGCATAAGTGATTTTTTAAATAATTTATTTCAATTGAATTGAAATTAATCAAACTGTGAAATGGATATTCATGTCTGTGAAAAATTAAACCAGAGAAATGACTATATGCAGCGCTCATCCCCAGGCTAATACCACCTCTACAGTGAAGCATGGTGGTGGCAGCATCATGCTGTGGGGATGTTTTTTAGAAGCAGTAACTGGAAGACTAGTCAGGATAGAGGGAAAGATGAATGCAGCAACATATAGAGGCCTCCTGAATGAAAACCTGCTTCAAAGTGCTATTGACCTGAAGGCTGATTTATACTTCTGCGTCAAACACCGGCGTATGCTACGGCGCTGACGCATAGCCCTTCGTCGTGGCCGTCGCTAACGTGCACCTCTCAAACATGTAACTACAGGTCATAACGACGCGTAGCGCAAGCTCTGTGATTGGTCAGCTTAGTAGCGCTGACGAGTCTGGGCGGGACCGAGAGCCGCGCGAATGGCGCGAGCTGGACGCGAGCCCAATGGAGCGATTGTTTACAAGTGTGGAGTCCCGTGAAGGAGCTCCTGATGGAAAGATTTGTTTTGTGTTTACCTTATAGTTAAAGTTGTTGCACGTCCGCCGGTTCCTGTCTCAAAATGAGCGAGTTTGAGCCACTTGTACATCCAGGAAGTGTTCAGGAAAAGCAAAAAAGCAGAGAAGAAACTCGACACAGAGAAACATTTTACACCTCACTGCCCACTAGCGTTTCGGAAGTGTTAATTCAGACCAACAGAGACAGCGCGCAGAAGTATAAATGCACAGCTACGCGCGTTGCCTGCGCCGTGGGTCACGCCGGTCACTTGACGCAGAAGTATAAACCAGGCTTTAGACTTGGGTGACGGTTCATCTTCCAGCAGGACGATGACCCAAAGCACACCGCCAAAATATCAATGGAGTGGCTTCTCAACAACTCGGTGAATGTCTTTGAGTGGCCCAGCCAGAGCCCAGACCTAAATCCTATTGAACATCTATGGAGAGATCTGAAAATGGCTGTACACCATCGCTTCCCATCCAACCTGATAGAGCTTGAGAGGTACAGCAAAGAGGAATGGGCAAAAATGCCCAAAGACAGGTGTGCCAAGCTTGTGGCATCATATTTAGTAGGACTTAAGGCAGTAATTGCTGCCAAAGGTGCATCAACAAAGTATTGAGCGAAGGCTGTGAATACTGATGTACATGTCATGGTTTCCGCTACATTCATTGTTCCATAGCGGGGCGCCATGCTAAAATTCGTACCGCTACGGCTACATTACAGCTTCGCATTCAAAACATTTTATTTTTTTAATAGTGGTTGATAATCGCACCAAAACATATTAAAGGGTAAGTGAATTATAAAAGTGCGATCTTTTCTGTAACCGTAGTAGTGTTGTGCATCATTTGTTTAACTCTTAAGGTTACATGCTTGCTGACTAAATGACAGGCGTGTGATGAGTGAGGCCAACAAACACGACGTATAGCCGTTTCACTTTACTTCAGGACACATTAATGCTACTCTTTAGGTCTATTAGAGACATTCAAAAATATTTGTAGCAAATCTAATAAATGTTGGAGGCATACTCGTTACATAAACGCACTAAATTGCAGCGTTTCTTTGAGAGCGCACAAGAAGATCTGTGCGCACTTGAAGCGGCTTATATTTGAGGGGCGTGTAAAAAGTTTTGTGCACGAGCAGAGGAAATTGGCGCGCAAGCTCAGAGATTCGCTTGCTGTAGGCTATTACACAAATGCGATCCTAACTTCTAATACTGCGCTAACGACATTTGTCATTGAAATAATAATGCCACAGGTAGTTGGTAGGTCTGTGTAAAAAAAAAAAAGGGCCTGCCGCCACAGCTGGAAAAAATCCTAGAGGAAACACTGCATATGATTTTTCAGGTTTTTTAATTTGTAATAAATTTGCAACAATTTCAAAAATTCTTTTTTCACATTGTCATTATGAAGTATTGTGTGTGGAATTTTGATTAAATAAATGTATTTAATCAATTTTGAAATAAGGTTGTCACAAAACAGAATGTGGAAAATGTGAAGCGCTATGAATACTTTCCAGATGCACTGTAGAGACAAGGGGCAAATTGAACTGGACTGGAATTTCTTTTTGTAATTAATTAATTTAATTTTTTTTAGATCTAGCAAAAACCTTAGCACTAGTTTGCAAAACTATTTAAACTAACAAAAAATGCTAAATACCTGAATGTTTTGTTGGTGGTGGCTGGATCTGATGCAAGAGAACTTGAGTCAAGGATTCAACTGATATAGGTCGCTTCGGTTGCGATTTACAACCCATTTCGTGTTTTAGACTGCTGTAGCACCACCATCAGGCCTAACAAGCCTCAGTGATGTGGTGGACGGAGGGTACAACAATCTTACCAAGTTTTAAGTCTCTATGACTTACAGTTTGATCTGCCTAATCAGATAGGTGACCTTTGAACTTTTCTAACAATACCAATATGGATTCAGCACTTGAATCCTTAATACATTTCACCACATGAAAAAAACAGTGACAGATTACGAAAGAGGAGTAAAATTGGCAGCTGCAGAGACAGAGGTGTCTCCTGTCAGCAAATTAGGGTAAACCGTTTAGGACATGTACTCGAGTTCACAATGTTCCCTTACATAAGACACAATTAAAAGCACTGGGGAGAGAGAGCGCCTTCTCAGCACTCATCTCATTATGTCCAATCTGCAGAGCTGACCTGCATTTGCACACATCCAGCACTCTAACATCCAACAGACACCACTCATTGCTTTAACCCTGATCACTTCCAACTGTCTTGCATCATCATAAATGCATCAATGTGTCATTTAGAGCTGCACGAACACAACTACGACCGCCTCTATTGCATAAATGATTTGGATGGAGTATGAAAGAGAATGTCAACAATGTACATCGAACACATAAATATGCTGTCAAACTAGGATGCATATACAGTATCTGTATTCATATATATATGTATATATTCATACTCAGACTATTGGTCTAGCCTGACCTACAGAATAAATAATGCATTTGCCACCGCAGCAGCTGCTGTCACAAAAGCATTTGTCTTCTGTTGTGTCCCCTCACACCTGACTCAAGTTTATAAAGCTGACTCCAGCATCTCTGAACCCCTGATGCCAAGGACAGAGACCTCAGAGACAAGTAGACAATCATGCTCAGACTCAGACAAAAGAACAATGCAGACAGAGCTGCAACTGCCCTATAAGTGTACTGCCATCTAGAGCCTGCAAAAAAAACAGCAACTGTTTTACTGAAATAACAAAATCCAAATTAAGAGTGATAAAGAGTGTATAATTAGAGTCTACAATTGTGTAAAATTACACATTAAAATTCTAAATTCAAGAATCTTAGGTAAAATGATGGTAAAACTGTTTAAAAAATACTTTGTTTGTGGAGACACCTAACATCTAACCCAGTGGTTCTCAAACTGTGGTACGTGTACCACCAGTGGCACACAGGCTTCCTTCTAGTGGTAAACGGAGGAATGAAATATGTCATGCACATGCTACACACATTTCAAAATTTACAAAAAATGATGTATATAATACGACATATATGACATATAGCCTTTATTTCTGAGATAATCTGCCACGTTTTTTTACTGTGCAGAGTTGTAGCTGCTTTACTGGGCCTACTACGCGACTGTATTTCAATACTGGTCATTTTGGTGGTACTTGGAGAGACGATTTATTTCTGAGGTGGTACTTGATGAAAAAAGTTTGAGAACCACTGATCTAATCCATTTATTATGGCATTAAAACATTAAAAGCCAACCACATCTGAAACTGTTCAACTAGACACAATATTTAACTAGCTGTTTCCATCCAAAAATGTGAATTAGCAAAACTGGAATATTGCAGACCGGGGGACCCAAGTAGGAGCACTCACTCTGGTCCCCCGGGCTCTGTGCTGGTTGGGGAAATTCCAAACGTAACCAAAACAAACCATTTCAATTGGCTTAAGATTGGCAAGCAAATTTCAGGACATTGCTTATATGGACATCTGTAATCTAGTTATTTAACATAGACAATAATATACTTAAGGTGTTTACGTGAAGTGCTTTCATGTAAGATTTTCTGTAATATTGGGTGACTTTAACTGCAGTTTGGCTATCAGTTTCACTATCATTCAAGAACATTTCACTCATGCCCCCATGACAAACTGGGGTATTAGACGCAAATAAGGAGTAAGGACTGGTGAGAGTTTTATGGAATGTAATAACGCACACCAAATGGAAAGAAAAAAACTTCTGCATTTTGCGATGTAAGTGTGTGTGTGTGCGAGCGGTCCTTTACTGACAGCCGTGTGTGTGGATCTTGTCGGAAAATATGGTGAAAACTTCAACATGAAGGTAATAGTTTGATCGCGGTGTTTACTTCAATAATGCCACTTTTATATTCATACTCCATGTCTAAATTCTATTTCTGTTTAGTTCAGTTATGACTTCAGTCGGATTAAGGTCATCAAAAACAGCTGTTTGGAGCTTATGTAGGGATACAGTTCAAAATTCATGATTAACTGAATAAACAGTTAGTAAACACAAGTACATCTTATTGAACATTTATTTTCATCACCAATTATCATAGTAGAACAGTTTCTCAAGCAGTTTGTGATGCATTTTGGAAACAGGAGATGAGCCCCTGGTCTAATGCGCCACCTGGCTTGAGAAACTCGTTCTCAGAGACTTACTTTTAGTTATTATTTGGGTAGCACACATATTCTGAATGCCTTGGGCAGAATTCAAATGAGCCATTTTAATCTAGATTCATTCCAAGATTACAGTGAGATTAATCTAGATTTTAAAAAAATGTATCTATGCCCACCTATAGAAATTAACCATGCCAAGTATATTCACCTTTGGCCCACTAGCCTTAATCAAGTTTGGTTTTTGGCCATTCATAAGAAAAGGTTTGGGCATCCCTGACCTAAATGTGGTCTTTGTTTTTGTGTGTACATGTATTTGTACCTGGTTCCTCTTCATACTGTCTCACTAGGAGAGGTGCAGGTCTGTGAACAGTCTGTGCCATCTGGGAGCTCTAAACAACAAAATGAGATGAAATGAGACAAGAACAATAGCAAAGGAGAGGGGCGAGAAGTGGACACTGTATACAGAGGGATTACACAGGAACAGAGAGAAAAAAAACATAGCTTTAATCTCCCTCATTCAGGGGGGTAAATCCCCACATATGGCTGACCTACAGACCGAGAATCCTGGGTTAATGAGGGTCTCAGAAGTTTCCACACAACACTAAAGAGACTACTTTGTTTTTGTGATTAAGTCAAAAGTAGGGACAGAGGTCATGTCTGAGCATAAATCTCTGTACATGTATCCTAAAAAGCCTAAATAGTACAATGCACAGACAATCAGTACTTGCTTCTTACTTTATACAAACGTTAAAAGACAAGTTTTTTAGCAAAAAATTATAAGCAGGAAAAATCAGAATCATAGTAATTAAATTGGTAACACTTTAGCACAGGGACCAATTCTATTAACTATTACATAGATGCTTGTTGCATGCATATTGTTAACATATTGGCTGTTTATTAGTACATATAAAGTACAAGTACATTTTCTGCATGGTCATATTCTACATCCCTAATCCTACCAAATACCTGAAATGATCTATTACTTTACAAACTATGAATAAGCTGCTAACTAGGAGTTCATTGATGCAAAAGTCATACAGTAGTTAATGGTTTGTTAATTGCAAAAATCCAACTTTAAAGGGGACCTATAATGCCCCTTTTTAAATGAAGTAAAAAATGATTTTAAATAATGTAAAATAAGTCTCTGGTGTCCGTAGTGTGTGAATTAAAAGTTTCAGCTGAAAATACCCCACAAATATTTAATTGCTTTTTGAAACTGCCCCTGTTAGGCTGTGATCGAAATTGAGGCGTTTTGATGACTGTCGATTTAAATTCAAATGAGATTGTGCTCTTTTAAGAAGAGGGCGGAGCTACAAATGCCTATGTGTCAGTATAGTGGCAGATTCAAAGCGTTAGCCTATTTTTTTTTAGTCTTTAGTTTTTCTTCTTGAATCTGGCTGGTTGAACAACATTTCATGAATGCTTAGTTATAGTTTAATTTAAATATATAACTATATAATTAAACTTTATTTCAAAGGGGACCTATTATGCAAAAATCCCTTTTATATAACAGTCTGTGAATATAACCAGCTTCTAATGGGAAAAAAAATTATTTATGTTATTTGTTGCAATCACACTTAATAAAAACTCTGCAGAAGCACTTTTTGACTTTTACAAGTATCGAAACAAATTTACAATTACAGATTCCTTACGGAAAGGGAATGTACCACACACCCAAAATGACCCTGAATGTAACACGCACCGGAAAATATCAGCTTGTGTGTGACTTTGTATACACAGGTTACCACGAGTCTACAACTATAAAAATCATGGTTTGACCAACTGGGATAAAACATATTAGAGCTATTCTGAGAAAATATCAGCGTTAGAGAATGTAGAAACATGTAAACGCAAGTACATGAAAACAATCAAAGCACGGCACATGTTGACTGATAAAGATATCAAAACCGAGCTCAACCTGTAGACCTGAGTAACTCGAGTAGTTAGACAGGTCGATTGATACCCACGCAGAACATTTTGACTTGGGTTCAAATCCTGTTGATGACATGTCATGATGTCAATTATAATTATTTCTTTACATTAATTTTGGTTATTTACTGTTTTGCCACACAAATATTACAATCTATAATTCTTACAGTGACACTGACACCAAGTAATAAGAATATTTATTTGGTATGGGCATGTTTTGTTGTTGTGAAAAAATTTACATATCTGTCAATCTGCAAACATCAATAGTTTACATCTGAAAAGGGGCCTCAGTTAACACGGACACCAGTTAAACCGTAACACCGGCTTCATTACTGTTAAGAGTCGTCAAGCAGATGTTTACACCGTGTAGACTTGACATCATGTCCACGGTAATAGCGTACGAGTGGCCCTCGTTAAAATATTGAACACATTGATGCAGTATGTCAGGTGTTTCAGTCTGGTCCGCATCCTTTATATAATCCAAACACCGACCACATGTAAAGCAAAACCGCGTTAAGCTGCTCATGTGTTTGCCACAAAACGGGCAAAACAACCCTCGACTACAGTCCATGTTCGGTCACCATGAACTTTGTTTACGCCATGTACTCCCCAGCACGAATTTACAGCGCTCACCAACAACAAAACTTTTCCCCAAGTCACTCTCGGTGCGTGGTACATTCCGGGACACTTCAGGTGCATGGTACATTCCCTTTCTTTAAGGAATATGTAATTGTAATTTTGTTTCGGGACTTGCAAAAGTGTGTTGCTTCTTGTTAATTTTTTTCTAAAATGTAAATTTGTTTTGTCCTTGATAAAATTGTTTTTCCTATGTAATTGTGTCTGATGATAGGTAAAATTGTATTCCAAAATGTAAATTTGTCTCGAGCTTTGTAAAAGCCTTTTACACTTTGCAATGTTGTTTTGCATTTTCCGCCACCGTACTAATGGGAGGGTTTCCCCCTTTGATGAAACCTACAAAGAGAGAATGCCAATCAAAGTGTTTCTGCAGACTGTTTTTATCAAGTGTGATTATAAAAACTAAAATTAATCAAATTATCCTATTAAAAGCTGGTTATATTCACAGACCGTATGTATATTGCCACACAACTGTGTTTAAACCCCTGTATAAAAATGATTTTTGCATACTAGCTCCTCTTTAAAATAAATATGACCTTTAAAATAAACAAAAAAACTAATAATTCATGAAATGTTGTTCAACCAGTCATATTCAAGGAGAGCTGTTACAGTCACTCCAAAAAATAATAATAATAATTGAGTAAAATAGGCTAACATACATCCATAAGTCTAATAAAAAGACTTTTCGACAATAAAGACAAATAATAATACCATAGCCAGTCTTTTATCAATAAATCCCACTAGTTGTAATAAAAAAAAATGTTTGTTGATATATTAATGAAACCTACTATGAAATGTCATCATTGTCTTATGTGTGCTTCCTGCTTGTTATATAACATTTAAAACAAAAGCTGCACTGAAGGTACTCATTTGATAACTTCTTGCTTTTTTGAGGAAATCGAACCTACAACCTTGCTATTTTTGGTGATTGCTCCACAATTGTAGCTATAGGAAAGCAGATATCACTGTATCACTCTTGCTTCCTAAAGAAATAAGTTCTGTCTATGTCAGATAAGGGTACTTGCCTCTGGCTGAGGTGAAGAGACAGTGTCCACTTGATAAACCATAGCTTCTTTCTGTTCATCTGATGACCTGAGGTTGACTGACAGCCCACCGTCTTCAACCACTGCACCTGGATAACAAGCACAAAACACATCAATATATTTCAGACTGCACTGTTAAAAAGATTAGTTGACTAACTTCACTTAAAAAAAAATGAAAAGTGAGTAAACCTGTTGGTTTTAAAGTAGACTATACTTAAAAAATAAAAATATTTAATAAAAATGAAGTCAGCTTAAATATATAGCTCACATTATTTACTCGCCCTTTACTTGTTTCTAACCTTAATGAGTTTCTTTTTTCTGTTAAAAACAAAAGAAAATAATTTAAAGAAACCTTTAACTATTGACTTCCATAGTATTTGTTTTCCTACTATGGAAGTTAAGCGTTACAGGTTTCCAACATTCTTTAAAATATCTTATTTATTTTGTGTTTTACATAAGAAATAAACTCATAATGGTTTGGAAACATTAGAAGGAGTGTAAATAGTGAGTAAATGTTTATTCTTTTGGGTGACCTATCGCTTCAAATGTGCCAAGCTACAATGAGTTTACTCTTTTCTTTATTTTTTTTAAGTCAACTTGTCACTTAAGGCGAAGCGTTTACTCAATTTAAGCAAATTAATTAATCACTTTTTACAGTGTGCATACAATAATAACTAGGTGAGTGGGCTTGACAAACCACCAGTAGAAAACACACGCTTCATTTCTCTACCATTTTAACCTACATTGGTCCCACTTTAGATTAAGTGTTGCTTATACTTGTGAACTTACATGGAAACTAGATGTATAAGTAGTATGTTACTACAGTGTATGTACACTCTGTTATATAGTACATCAGGGTAAATCCTCAGGAGCTGTTCACTCAATATAGAGTGTAAATTGGTCACAAATTACTGTGTAATATATAAAAACCTAAACCTTTGTGCAGCTGTTTAACAAGAGCAAACGTCTGCGGAAAAAAAGTATAAGTGTAGATAGAATTATACAAATGCCTTATGTTTATATGTTGTTTTAAGGTAAATTACAGAATCAAATCAGTAATTTACATTAATGGGGTGGTTTACCAAAGATTGTTTCATTAATGTCCTGTTACACATTTAAACTTACACATACTATTCAGTGGGTTGTAATGTGTGTTGTTACACCAGTATTACACAAGTAAATACTATGTACCTGTGTGTACATATACTGTAGTAGCATACTGCTTATACATCTAGGCCCCGTTTACACTAGTGCGTTTTAGTTTGAAAACGCATAAGTTTTGCTACGGTTACGCCATCCGTCCACACTAAGCTGGAGTTCTCGAGCGCCGAAAACGGAGCGTTTTGAAAACGCTGGAGAGGCCGTTTTCATTCTGAAACGCTGCTGCTCCGTCTCAGTGTGGATGGGGAAAGACGGAGACATCTGAAAACGGAGGCGGGGCTGCAAACGTTCGCCTATCTGATTGGGGCTTTTCCTCAATATTAAGTAGCCCACACACAGTTCAGTCTCGCATCCTCTTCTTGTAAGTTAAGACTTCGCAAGTTTGATCAAGGCTGCAGTCTCCCCCTTCTCAGTTTGATATGGAAAACATACAGAGGACACGGGTAAATCTTCAAAGGGAACAGTGTACTTTATAACTTCATTCACATCACCTTGGCTACGTTGTTTCACTTTCTCAACAATAAAATGTAAACATGATTTAAGGAACTGCCTATTTTCTTTTTAATATTAGAAAACTTAACAGACAGCAGAAATGTTGAGGCGCCGTGCTGCATATATGAGCGTCATCTTTACTGTGTGGATATTTATAACAAAACGGAGCCGATAACAACTGCCTCCTTTCAATTTCAGTGAAAATACGAAACGCACTCTCTCTTTTGCTGAATATCAGTTTTAATAATCGACAATTATAAAAGTATAACATACAATAAGTTTATACATTGTAGGAAATAAAGGCAAGCGATCAGTCAATGTACCTGGATTAATCATTAACTTATCTTTGCACTTAACCAAAACATGTTACCCGTGAACAAGTAACTTAATAGATTCCAATGACCAAAGTCAGGGAATTTTCCTATGTCGTAAGATAAAGACAACAACATGAATGAAATATCACGTTTAGCAAATATAGTGAGATTAGATCAAGCGGGAGATGCGTGCAGATGAGCAGTCCGACAAGCAGAGCTCTCATCTGGGTAGAAATGCTGGAGCGCTTGCCCGAGAGTGTGTGTGTGGTCACGTGATGTGCGTTTTCAGCGTTTTGGTGTGGACGGAGAGCTGTTCAGAAACGCTGGGTAAAACGCGAGTGTGGACGCGGATCGTTTTCATTCTACAACGCCGTTTTAAAACTAAAACGCACTAGTGTAAACGGGGCCCTAGTTACCATGTAAGTTTACAGGTCTAAGCGACATTTAATATAAAGTGGGACGTGCTGATTCAAGTCCCAGGTGGGCCAGTTGGAATTTGCATGTGCTCCCCGTGTTGGCGTGGGTTTCCTTCTGGTGCTCCAGTTTCTCCCACAGACCAAAGACATGTGCTATAAGTAAACTGAATAAACTAAATTGGCCATAGTGTATGAGTGTGTGAACGAGAAAGTGTATGGGTGTTTCCCAGTACTGCGTTGCAGCTGGAAGGCCATTCGCTGTGTAAAACATATGCCGGAACAGTTGATGGTTCATTCCGCTGTGGCAACCCCTGATAAATAAGGGACTAAGCCAAAAGAAAATGAATAAATCAGTGTGTGTATTGCCTCTTCTTGTTGAATCGCTGAATGCCTCTTCAATTGTAAGTCAATTTGGACAAAAGTGTTTGCTAAATAACTAAAAGTAACCGCCTAAGCAACCAACTCAAAATAAATCTCTATTAATCAAAACTCTATCATTAAAGCATGCGTATTCAAAGTCTTTATCATGCACACATTCGCCAATGGTCTCAGCATGTTTAAAGTGACATTTGGCACCTTAATTCGCCTCTGTTATGAGGACTTCATTGCAGATGAATTCAAAGTAAAATAGCATTAAAGCGTGGCTCCTTCAAGGATGAAGTGTTGTCGAGCTGCTGGGGTGTGTGTTTTCTCTTTGGCAGCGAGAGTCTCTAAGCAACACTGAGGTTCTTTTTACTGTGAGCTGAGCAGATCTTGGCTGAAAGTAAATATTGGTTTAAGCCAACACAGGAAGAGGTTTGGGATCTACACCGGCGTTCTGTTGCTCAGGACTCATAACTTACACGTACTGTCCACACACACATTTTTGGGCACTGAAGTACACTTAACATTCTAAGAGCAGGCTAGTGTTTTCCAAAACATCTCTGCTTAATAATTTGTGTTTACTTACATAGGTTTGTTTTAAGTGCGAGGTTTTGGCCAGTCCAGACTGTGACGTTTCAGTTTTGAAACAGGATGCAAGACTAACATTTACTCCAAATACGCCAAACACAGGTTTTATTCAAACGGTAAAACTCTGTTTCAGATCTGATCATTATATGAAAAGTAAATATTTACTTCAAAAAAGTCCAACATAGACTTTATTTATTTGTAACTCTTCAATCAGAGCTACTGTATACTTATGTTTATGTTATAAACTTATGTTTATGTATACTTATGTTTAAATATTAAAAGTTAAACGTTTGGGGTCAGTTTTTTTTTCCAATGTCTTTTTTTAAGAAAATTATTCTGTGATCTTTGATAAGAAATAAAAATAAACACACCCAGTCCTTTTTTTTTTTTTCAAATTTACGATTGGCCAATTGGAGCAGTTTTCAGATCGACCGCAACTTTACATAGGAGTGCAGTAATGTGTAAAATCATATCGACAAGACAGGACGAGCACAAAGCAACCGGGAATAATAGGTCTGTTCAGTTTGCTAGGATCATCAATCATCATCAGACGTGATCAAGAGTGAGTTTTACAAGTTTAACATGTTTTAAAACGTGTGCACGTGTGTAATGAAGTACAGGATTCACTTCAGATTCACTTCATCAGCACAGCCGCGTGTCTCTCTCACTGTCTATCTGTGTGTGTGTGTGTGTGTGTGTGTGTGTGTGTGTGTGTGTGTGTGTGTGTGTGTGTGTCTGCGTGTCTGCGCTGTGTGTACGTGAACTCATTGTTGCAACTCCACAAAAAATGCATCAAATACTGATTGGTAAAGTTCTTACGTGGGAACGGTGGGCGGGATGACTCGCCTTAAAGGCCCAGTGCAAAAAAAACAGCAAC